TTGAAATTGTGAATCAAATAAACTTTACCTCCTCCTCTACCTTGTTCTTAGCAGGTCTTTTGGGCATAGCAAGGAAGTTGACAAAAACATGCAATTACATGGGGTGTAGAAAGAGGATAGGCAGAAAAAGACAATCCAAAGAAGAAGCTCATAAGGGGCTTCAAAGCTGAGAACAAGAATGTTCACTTTGTTCTTTTTAAATTGTATAGAACTTATATAGTCTTTGGCATATTTTGATGTATTTGACAATTAAAAAAATGTTTCTCGCCCACAATCTCAGCAGCTCAGGAGGCTGAGACAAGAGGATCAAAACTTCAAAACCAGCCTCAGCAAAAGTGAAGTGCTAAGCAACTCAGTGAGATCCTGTCTCTAAATAAAATACAAAATAGGGCTGGGGATTTGGTTCAGTGGTCAAGTGCCCCTGAGTTCAATCCCTGATATCCCCGTTCCCCCCAAAAAATACTTTATTTTCTTCCCTTTCTGTGTGGACCTTTATATATATAAAAGCAATATAAAAGTTTCTAAATAACAGAATCCTGAAGTGGTTAACATATTGAAAGGAGAAATGTAGTATAGAAATAACCTAAGTATTCTAGGTTTGGTATTTCAGCATTTTTCAGGTAGGAGAAGAGGTAAGGTGTTCCTTTAAACTCATACTCTAATTCCCAGAATGTATTTTAAAGAAAATATGGCACATGCAAATATCTAAGCATAAGAACATTTACTTTAGCTCAGCTTATAATGGTAATTACTTGAAAAACCAAGCTTTTGAATAAGGCATGACTAAATGAGACTCAACTACACAAAAATGTTATCTAGTAAACTTTAAAAGATGAAGCAGAGTGTGTTTGTTGGCATGGGAAAACAAAATATATATATGATTTTCTTTACACACACACACACACACACACACACACACACATATATGAAAGATCCAGAAATATAGTCCAAGCAATTTAACAAATAGAAAATTTTACCATATATCTATATTTTCTAATTAATGTACATACTTGTAATACCTTTAAAGAAAAAAAGTTGACTTTTAAAATTTTAAGGCAAAAAATTTTCACTGGCTTTGCTATCAAGATAACAAGTGAGTTATCCTTTAAGGCTCAAATTCCCTGTAATTCAGCTAGAAACTCTGACAGATACATCAATTTATCTCAAGCAACAAAGCTATATTCCTTAAATTAAAGCAATACCAATTTCTTTTATTAGAGGTTGGTATTGCACCAGAATGGGCTTCAATGTGTGCTTCACAACTGTCCAGCATCAGGCCTTTTTGTCTAATATGATCTGATTAAGGCCATGGCCTTCACTCACTAGGCCCCATGTATATAATAACCTCTGAAAACACATTCCCAGCCCTCTATATAATAGCATTCCTTCTTTTTTTCTCTCATTCTTTTGTTACATACCACACCTTCTCAGTTCAATCTATTTTCAAATTTTTTCACTGTTCTAATGAGAAAGATCATTAGAAAGCAAAAATAATTTATTTTTTCTTGCTTCCTATATTTGCCTACTCAAATCCATCTATATGTTGCAGCTATCAGAGTAGAAACATTAAACTTAAAAGTCAAAAACAACACAAAATGTTCTCTTCCATTTTCTGATCCCAAGTTTTAAGTGGCCTCATGTATATCTGTGATAGTCCAAAATACACAAAATGCTGTGATTCTAAGCAACATTTGGCCTAATCTTTTAATCAAAGTTTGAAATACAACATACAGAGATTAAATATTATTTTCAGTTCTTTCATAGTTCATTAAATAACAACTCTAACTATACAATTATCTTATTTCCAAATCATCATTTATTTTGGGGAAACTATAAGTCTATAATTGTCAATTGCAAGTTTTCTTATCAATGAAAAAATAGAGCACAAAGTCAGAATTACTAGAGCATTATGCAGAACAGAAATTTCTATACTTTGTGCATATAAAAGTTGAGCACCCCTAATTCAAAAACCTAAAATCTGAAATGCGCCCAAATCTGAAACTTTTTGAATACAGACATTAGACCAGAGTGGAAAATTCCACACCTGACCTTATGTGAAAGATCAGTCAAAACATGGGTACACCATAAATAGTGTATGAAATTATCTTGAAGCCATATATATAAGGTGTATATGCAACATAAATAAATTTTTGTGTTTAAACTTGGGTCCCATCCCCAGGATATCTCATTATGTACATACAAATACTCTAAAATCCAAAACAATTACAAACACTTCTTATCCCAAGCATTTCAGGTAAATGATACTCAACTTATAATAATTCCAGTCAATAGTCTTAAGAAGACACATCTAACTAAAAAGTTAAATGGATAATATGAATAAATACTTATAAAATTAATATTTGCCAAGATTGACACTTAAGTAATATTCTTAATGTAAAGGAGATAGAGATAAATATGGACCTTTGATTTGAGAAGGCTTCAATGAAGGAGACAATGGACAATACCTATGAACACAAATGTCTCCAAGCAGCTAAGCCATTTCTACATATCAATAAATTTCACTGTTGTTACTTACACCCCCCAAAAAAATCCCTATTCTTTATAAAAGAAAAAATAGGAATAAAAGATTAAAACATAATTAAGTATAGTAATTTAACATTAATAGAAACAAATATTAGGATATTAGTAAATTGAGTGCCTGCAATCTGGCAGGAGACTGAAAATGGCAAATCATTCCATCAATACACTTTAAATGATACATAAAATAGTGCAATTTTTCAAGAATACTTCCATCTATTAAATCTGTCTGATTAACTGAGCCTAAATTACATTCAGCAACTTGATTTGAAGCTTTGGATGACTTCTCCCATAATATGTAAGGTATTTTAAGAGTAGGGAGAGAAACAGATGATAGAAAAGGTGGATCTATGGGTCATGATAGAAATGTTAACTTGGGATCATGGTATGTGCTAACCTACTGCAACAAGTCAAGGTGAAAGTGTTAGAAGGAAGAGGTCAGAGGAAATGTGTTAGTATTTATCACTGGGAAAGGTTTTTCAGGATGAATGAAAGGAATATAAAAATGTACATCAGCTTATTTGTTTAGAAGGTACCAAAAAATGACTACCTAAGAAAGCATGGAGATTTCAATTTCAATATAACCTCAAAGTGTTAGATGAGAAAACATGGTATCTTCAAATAGGCACTTGGGACTGGGAAATATAAAATGAAGTTGAACAGCTGATTTTCCTAAAGCAGTCACTGTAAATTCTCATTTGTTTGTTTGCTTTTTGTTTTTTGTACGACTGGGGATTAAACCCAAGGTCTCATGCAGACTAGGCAAGCACTCCACTGAGCTACGTTCCCTGCCTTTTTTACTTTTTATTTTGAGATAGGCTCACTAAATTGTCCAGGCTGACCTAAACTTATGATACTCTTGCCTCAGCCTCCCAAGTCACTGGGATTATGGACATATGACACATGCCCAGCTCTTTTTCCCATTTTAAAGATGAAGGGAAATGTGAAGCTAAACTGAGAAACTATTCTAACCTTGCATAACTAGTAAATGATGAAAACAAAAAGGGAATCCAGATTTGTCTTTCCATGGCCCACCCTTTCTAGTACTATATACTATCTAAATATCAGATGAGGGCTAGGGATATAGCTCAGTGGTAGAGCACTTGCCTTACATATGCAAGGGCCTAGATTTAATCCCCAGTATCCTTCCTCAAAATATTCACATGCAATTCAGAACATTTTTATTACAAGTTTTTTATGATTTGAGAGTTGTATTTATAATCACTATAAATATACCCAAGATATTTACATCAAATGAACATAACACATAAAAAGAAATCAAAGTTGGCTGTGGGAAAAAAAAAACTAACAGAATCAGCTATATCAGGTGCTTATTTTAGGTTCTCAAAGGGACTAAGTACTAAGTACATTTTTTCAGTTTCAGAATAGGAAGACCCACAATATTACCTAGGCCAACTTGAGTAACACAAGAGAGAGAAGGAAAAAAGCTAAGGTGAACTTTTCAATCTATACCTTTCCTGAACCATGCTCTATGGAACCTACAGTTTGTCCCTAATTTTCCCCTAGTTCTCTTTGGGCACCCTGACTTTCTTTTCCTGACTTAATTTGATTACATACACTCTAAGCACTTGGAATATTACAGTAAATATCTGTCCCATATTTTCTAGCCTACTAAATTAATCCTAGAGTTCTTCTTTTTGTAGGTTTAATTATTTATTTTGCAGTATTCATCCTACAAATCTCCTATTTATTATCTGACAATCATAGTTATTAGATTTCTCATTAAGCAGTGGGAAATGGCTCTTGAGTACTGTTCCCCTAAATACCCACCACTATTTCTACCCTCTTTCTTAGAAATAAACTCTATAGGACTTACTATTCATTCCACTACAGTTTGAAATGGGTAATCTTGGCTTTGAAGTCCAAAGGAAAAACGACAGAAAATGAAAACAGAACTACTAGAAAATCCTAAAAGAAACTAAGTCAAACTGATCCACAACCATCTATAAGTTACATGTATGCCTATATGTAAAGAAAACTTGTAACCAGGAAGACAAATGAGAAAGGAACATCAAAAATTCTTTTTAACTCATATCCTTACCTTGGCTCTCAGTTCTGAAGGGCAATGATTCATTAAAATATTTGGGAGAAGGCAGGCAAAGTTACATACAATCTGTAACTGCTAACCCAGGACTGGTACCCTCCAACACAAACACACACACCATGCACACCTAGAAAATCACATTAGGTGAGCCCTAATATGCTGCTTCTGTGAGAGGATTCAGGACTCATCCTGCTCTAGTCATTCCTGTCCTAAATTTCTCCAAGAGACAGACACTTCACATAATTCTACAAAACTCTCACGAACAACAAGAGGTGGGTTGGGAAAGGAGGACAAATAAGACATATATCTTAAAAAAGAGAAAGGAGAATTCATCACAAAAGGAACTTTAGAAGCTCCCATGGCTCTCCAAGAAAACAAATATTCCTAACATCCTTACCAGTAAACAACATCCAGTGGTGCAAAGTAATTTTTCATTATCAGGTCAGCAAAGTAAGCTTCGGTTTCCCGGCAGGCGGTTCCATTTCCAATCACCACTGTGCTGCAGCTTCAAGGCAGAAACAGAATGAGAAACGGAATGAGTTCAAGGTATGCTTTGAAATCAACCAGAGAAAATGTACAGAATGCACAAATACTATTCTACACTGCTCTTATTCTCTCATATATCCAAGCAACCTCTCCATTGTTTCAAAGGAAAATAGACATGCAGTTTAAAAGATGCTGCCCTTGCATTTGGTATAGATGGCAGTGAAAAAACAGTTTATTGTCATACAATGTCAAGAAGAATCAGTCAGCTTTCTTCCCATCAACAGGAATCAAAATTAAATGGCAGTAGGTTAAAGCTGGGGCATTCTAAGCTGTAATAAAGACAATATGGCTGAATTATGTTGTCATAATTTCTGAACATTCTTAACTAAAACTATGACCATTCCTCAGAGAACAAAAGGAGGAAGGAAGAAAGGAAAAGAGGACAGGGGATGAAGACTGGCCAAACAGAAGAAATAAATGCTCACTTTTTGGCAACATCACCACCTCTTATTTGTGAAAGAGAGAGAAAGCGTACTTGTCAGGAATCCCCATATGCAGTTCTCCAGAAGTTTGCCCCAGCATTGTTTTACATGCCTCCTTCTCTCTCACCAAGGCACCTCCCTTGATTGATCTCTCCCTATTTTAGGTTTCAAAGGAATTTCTTGCTGGGCTAGTGAAGTACTGAAAAGATTACTTATTTTCATACTTGAAATTCAGCAAAAGCCTCTTTATTTTCTCAGCCTCTCTGAAGCCTTGTCCACAATGCAAGTAAACCACATCAGTATGAAGTATCTGACCTTAAAAGAAAATAGAAAAAAAATTAAATAAAAAGCCATTTTGTTGTAAGAAATTACAAAATATAACACCAGTGTTTTGATTAAGCCAGTTGTAAGAGAAAAGGCTTGTCTTTTCAAATGCAATCTAAATCATTCATGTTCACTTCTCCCTAAGACCTCTGAAAAACTGTTTCTTTCAAAGTAACATGGATTGTAACAATCTCTACACTTATTTTGCTATACGAAACAGTTAATGTTAACAAATTAGTAAAAACTAACATTTACTGAATACTCACTACATAGTAAACACTGTTGTAATACTATTCTTTTTCTTCTTTTTAGTTGTAGACATATGAATTTGTTTCCTAGTAAATATCTTTGTGTTATATATTTAAGAATTGCACTTTTCTACACTACAATACATAGAAAATATTTTATTTCTAATACAAATATTGTTTTAATTAAAACTTCATGCAGATTTGAGTGTAATTACCTAACAAGGAGGTAATTTTCCTAACAAGGAGGTTAAGAAAACAACAGAATAATTTCAAAGAAAGCAGAAGATAGGAAATAATAAAGTTAAAACAGAAATCAATGAAATAGAAAAAAACAACACAAAGGAGCAACAAAATTATTTTTTAAAAAATACTTTTAATAGCCAGGCGTGTAATACTGTAACAGGTGTAACTCCTGTAATCCCTAGCTGGTAAAGGTGAGGCAGGAGGATCTCGAGTTCAAAGCCAGTCTCAGCAATGGCGAGGTGCTAAGCAACTCAGCTACACCCTGTCTCTAATAAAAATACAAAATAGGGCCGGGGATGTGGCTCAATGATCGAGTGCTCCTGAGTACAAACCCCAGTACCAAAAAAAAAAAAAATACTTTTAGCAATTAACAATCAAGAAAAATCAAATAATCATTTTTTAATTATAAATAAATATAAAGTATTATATTAGAAATAATTTTATTATATTTAAATTATAAATATAACTATAAATATATTACAAATTATAAAATATTTTCAAATTGGCACTTGGAACTGGCAAATAATAAAGTGAAGAACTGATTTTCCTAAAGCAGTCGGTGTAAAATTCTTTTGGGTTGTTTTTTGGTTTTTGCAGGACAAATAAATTATATTTTAAAATGATTTCATAAATTATAATAGAAATAAAAATATGCTATAGAATATAAAAATGAAAATACAGAATATATGAGATATATTATCTATCTATAGCTATATATATAGAAATGAAAAGAGAATATAGAGTATAGAAATGAAAAGAAGCTGTAACTAGAAATGGAGCAGATTAAAAAGAAACAGATTCAAATAATAGTATGTATGTAAATAATATAGTATTTTGATTAAATGATGAAATGGATAATTCTTAGAAAAATCTTACCAATGAAGATTGAGGATTAGTCCCTATATCTACATGTTAAAAATTTTAAAAAGAATTATCCTATAAGCAATACAAGACTGAAAACTTGATTTACTAACATATCCAAAAGAAAGAATCATGACCAAGTTGAATTTAACTAAGAAAAGTGTAATTTGACATTTTTTGAAAAAAATCTGAATAATAAACTTCATCATAGTTAGAACAGCAAAAGATAAAAGCCACAGGATGAATCAGTATTTGAAGAAAAAAAATTGATAAAACAGACTTCCCATTTATTATAAAAATGAACAGCACCAAAAGACAACTTAAGGGGGCTGGAGTTGTTGTGCATCAGTATTAGAGTGCTTGCCTAGCACATGTGAGGCACTGGGTTCTATCCTCAGCACCACATAAAAAAATAAAACAAATAAAGTTATTTAAAAAAATCATGTTTTAAAAAAGAGACAACTAGGAATAAAAAACCAAAACCTCATGAGTGCATCTATAATAAACGTAACAAAACATCTTCACAAAACCCAAAACTGAGCAGATGGGTACAGTGCACTGACAGCTAAGACCTCCGCACATAAGCATCTGTGTGGGAGGAAGCAGAGAGAATAGAAAATGTGATGATCCTCCGAACAGAAGAATCCCAAAATGTCAAAAAGTACTTCCCTAGGAAACACAAGTTAGAAAGTTTCTAAGATCAGTTAGAAATGCTAAAGCTTTGAAAACCTCCAAGGGAAATTCATGCAAGCAAACACACACACACACACACACACACACACACACACACACACACACACACACACACACACACACACACACACACACACACACA